GCAGGAAGGGAGACGGTGATGAGTGTTTCTTTGGATCTAATGATCAATCCTGGAGTTTGTTCTGCTCTCGCTGCAGTTGCTCATTCACACACAATAACATAGAGACTGATCTCCCTGTGAAGCACATCATCAGGAGAATAGGAGTGTTTGTGGATCACAGTGCAGGAACTCTGTCCTTCTACAGCGTCTCTGACACAATGAGCCTCATCCACACAGTCCAGACCACATTCACTCAGCCGCTCTATCCTGGGTTTTGGGTTGATTATAAATCATCAGTGAAACTGTGCTGATGAATCTGAATAGACTGACGAGAGATTCTACCCATAATGCTTTGAGCTGCATGATGAATCAGTAACAGTGAGATGTTATAAGCTGTGTCCGAAACCGTTCACTCGTTCACTAATAGTGTATGGCAGTTGAGTGCACTATATCAGAAAGGAGTGAATGAAATAAGTGAACGGATTCGGACAGTGACGTATACACTTGCGTGTGAGACTTGGAGCTGTTGCATAAACATCTTCGTCACATATGTACTTTTATATTACATGTACCTTATTTTAGAAAATAATATTAATAGCAATAACACTCAAAATGACTTTATATTGTAATTATACATACCTCCACGTCAGCTTTGTGGTTTCATCGATGGTATATTATTAATTTGTTTTGTAATGCTTTTATGTTCATAATCATATTAAAATACTGAGAACAAAATAAACACACATTAACACGTTCATAATTTGATGTATTTATTATTTTTAGTATCTTGAAACTCTCCCGAGCAGCGTTTTGAGCTCAGATAAGATAATGTCGTAGAGCGCCCTCAGGCGACCGTTAATTTTACATCAGAATGATTAACGAACATTTTTAAATTATCCACCAAATTATCATCATTTTTGTAAGTTAACAATCAATGACGCCACCTCGGTAAATTAGTAAAATATTAAACTGAGTTATTGCCTACATAATATGTTTTAATATAAACAATGTATGAAATAAACGTTAAAGCAGAAATAAGACAGATGTAAACAGCATCTCTCATTCAAACTCGCTTCCGCTCGCTCTTCCAGCTCGGCGGTTCTCCGCACTGGATTGTGGGAAATAGTGCTTCAGTGAGTGTACATCGGTTGTACACTCGAAATCAGAATGCATTGTGGGTAAAAAGTACAGCGGTTTTGCACTTTTGGGCCCCAATGATGGTTTTTGTAAAAAAAATATCCATATTCAAAACGTAATAATCACTTGAATCTAGCTTGCGCTCACTGTTGTAAACAGAAGCAGCTCCGGGCGGATGACGTATGAGGTCAGCTTTGCGCATGCGCCGCTCAGAAGTGACAAACGCGGAAGCGCAGCGGAGAGATCAAAACAAAACTACGGTCACTAATTAGAAGTACAAAACGAGGATTTTTTAGTAGAAGTAGAAGTTTTGAATATGGATATTTTTCTTACAAAAACGCATCGATTCGCTACAGGAGGCCTTTGTTCACCCCCCGGAGCCGTGTGAGACTTTTTTTTATGGATGGGCGCTTTTTATTTAACTTCTTTTGGACTGAAGCATGCAACACATGCTGAGTGCCATGAAACAGCTTGAAAGATCAAAGACCATTTTTAATATAACTCCGACTGGATTCGTCTGAAAGAAGAAAGTCATATACACCTAGGATGCCTCGGGGGTGAGTAAAAAGCAGCCTAATTTTCATTTTTGGGTGAACTAACCCTTTAAAGGTGAAGGTCCTTTTACTCCCATTACAGTTTTCTCAGGTGTTGCGGCCAATGCGTGATCAAAGTGCTCAGCTTCAGTTCTAAGTTTTGGCACTTCAGTTCTTTGTTTGCGTAAGGACCTCCCCCAACATGGTAACAGAAGTCACACCCATAAAATCCATTGAACTGTTTAGTGTTCCTTAGAAGTGGGCGGGTGACTGAATCAGAACTACATATAAGAGCAAAAACCTTGGAAGTGTGCTGAGTCTTTCCATTTAATACCATATTTTTGTAGAACTGACAGTTCATCTACGAATGGCCTCAAAAATGTGAGCATGTAGGGCTTTTTTTCCCCAAACCACAGACATGGAAGACAGATATTTGCCTTGCGTTCTCTAAGCTCGAGCTCTATAACCTGGCACTGTATGGGCCAGATTTGGTTCTTGGAGCTCCTGAACAGTGGGATTCCATCACAGTTCCAATTTAAAGATATGTCATCCTCACACATTGCACCAGATTCCTTAAGTTTCTGATACTCTTCTCCACACTGGATGTCTGAAATGCTATCTGAAATCAGCCAATCTTTTTGAAAACTTGTTTGTTTTTCCTCAAGCAATGTTTTGATCTGTGAGGCCAAACTAAGAACCAGGAAAAAAATCTGAATCAGTTACTGTAAGACAAATGTCACACTGTAGCTCACCAGTATTTCTCCCTAAGTAGTTTTCACATGCTGGACAGTAGAAATGGGGTTCATAATTTCCATACTGACCATAAGCTTTTCGGAAAAGATATGTGGTTACTGGTAGCATGCCTGGAAAATGCTCATTGAAAATTGTCAGTAGATGGTAGAAAGTCATATACACCTAGGATGCCTCGGGGGTAATTTATGGCCTAATTTTCATTTTTGGGTGAACTAACCCTTTAACAGTTGCAAATAAACATTCATTAGAAATTTATAAAAGTAATCAAAAAGTAATCAAAAGTAATCAGTTACATTACTTTAATAAAGTAATTGAAAAAGTTACACTACTATTACATTTTAAATAGGGTAACTTGTAATCTGTAACCTATTACATTTCCAAAGTAACTTTGCCAACACTGTGTGCATGCGTGTGTGTGTGTGTGTGTATTTCCCATTCATTTCCTATGGGTGCCCATTTTTGGGCACAAATGACAAATTAATAAGTTTTTTTTTTTTCAACCACATAACTTTGTTAACTTAACTTTGTTGTTTTTTTGTTCAGGTGGCAAACTTACGAAAAGTAGCCAAGTCTTGAACCTCTCAGATTAAGGAAACTATTTAAAAAAAAATAAAAGATTTTGCCCAAGTTTGTCCTGAATGACGATTGAGGGTTAAACCTTTTTGTCATCCTAAAAAACAAAGCGCTGCCTAATGGAGTGCATAGATCAGTGTGTAAAGCTTCCCATCCAACAGCACATAAATCACAGGTGAACACAGAGAACTGCGTTTCATGCGTTGTTTACTGTAACACAACAAGGAGAGAAATACATCCTCTGGCGACAGTGGGCATTTAACACATGTACATTCATCACCTCTCAGCATCAGATAAACTTCTCTGCTGTTAACAAACACCAGAACGCAACACAGCGCGCATCTGTCTTAATAGAACAGTTTTAACAGTCACGATTCAAACAAATAAACACCTGTAACACAACAAGGAGAGAAATACATCCTCTGGCGAGAGTGGGCATTTATACACATGTACATTCATCTAAAAGAGCATACAGAAATGAGAGATAAACCTGTGTTTGATTCAAAGAAATGGCGTCAGCCATGCAGCGCACATGTTAAACAAATTGCATCCAAACTCCACAAAGTTCATCAAATACGATCACAGTCACTTAACATCTTGTTACACAACATCATTAACCGTTTATCTTAATATTATTTGTGAAAGGGTGTGGTTTCACAAGCAAGGAAAATTACCCCAAATACTTAATATCGCCACAAGAGGTCTCTAAACAATTATTAAATTAACAAAAACACAGTAATTTTGGTGAAAGTTATAACATTTAAAGTAACATTTTTAACCCTGTTACAAGTGCACGAGTTTCAGATATTGGGGGACAGATTGGCCATTTCTAATTATTGGGGGGGACTTGTCCCCTCAATGTCTCTGCTGGTTACGGCCCTGATATATATATATAAGAGTGCAGATGCAAAAAGCTCTAAATGCCGTCTGAAATTTTTTTCTAAAATTAGCATTTTTATTACATACATACATACATATATTAAATATTGCATAAATACAAATATATTGCATAAAGTTTTCTGTTAAGGTTAGGTTATACTATTTACTAGATGTAAATAGACTAGATTTCTGCGCGTCTCCACCAGGGCTGTTCCCCTAAATTTGGAATCATATCACACCAAGCAATTTTGGGTGAAATGTGCAGTTTGTCCTGTCACCAGCTGCTAAATACAAATCTGCTTTCGCTGGCTAGCACAGAGCCAGAGACACAAACATTTTTAACTCATTATAACCAATCACATACGATTCTGTTGAGCTTATGAATGCAAGGACCAATCAGAGGCGTTCAGATGAGTCATCGCTGGCTAACTGAATTCTCTGGCTAATTCTCTCATCAGAAACAACAAAGTGAAGATGTACGAATGTAAGTAAGATATTAATTTCACAGTGTAAACAGCTTTAGAGATTATTATGGGAGTTTTTGAGAGTGCTTGAACTCGCTGGACTGAAGTGAGTGCACCCTCAGATTCCAGATTTTCAACAATCCTAACAGATCCTAACAAACCATACATCAATGGAAAGATCATTTATTCAGCTTTCAGATGATGCATAAATATCAGTTTAAAAAATTGACCCTTATGACTGGTTTTGTGCTCCAGGGTCACATATATGTATAACTGTTATTATTGTAGAAGTAATACTGAATGGATGAGTTGATGCAGTGTTTCTTTGTCATGTCTGCAGTGAATATCTGCATCAGTGGAGATGACGGGGTGTTTGAGTCTGTGTTGATGTGTTTGTGAGTGATGATGATGATGATATGAAGGTGGGATGTCTGTGTTAAAGAGTCTGGTTCCTGTGCGTTTCCTCATGCTCGCCACTCACCTGGGGCACGTTCAAGCTCAAACCGGTGCGCAAAGTTTTGCTATGGTTTCCGGTTTGAACGACATGTTTCCTGGAAACGGAGTGCAATGGGGTTTGAGATGCGTTTTCTCTTGTTTGGTGGGTGTGTCAAACATGTCAGCCCAATCAGCAGCAACATGTATATAAACCACGCGGTATTAAAGAGACAGCTGGCACAATGTAATTAACATCCAAATAAATTCACAAGAGCAAGAATATTGTTTGCACGTTTATTTACTTTAAAGGCAAAATAACTGAAATAATAAGAGCACATGTATAGATCTGGAACTTCTCTAAGTCTGTCTCAATATAATTTAGTAATTGCAATGTCTTCTGGTCCATATCCTTTCCTTAGGAAGGTGTGCTAGACACTGATTAATGTAACATAAAAATATTATACATATTTATATATTTTGCTATTGTATTGTGGAGTGACACTTTCATAAACTTTTCTATACTCCTCTGATTATATAATGGTAAATATTACAATATCATAGCACAACAACGTGTGAGCGTGTGTGTGCGAGCATGTGTGTGTGTGTGTGTGCGAGCGTGTGTGTGTGTGTGTGTGTGCGAGCGTGTGTTTGTGTGTGTGTGTGCGAGCGTGTGTGTGTGTGATTTTTCCGTACATTTCTGCCATATGTACATTAACTGACAGTCACCACTGATAAGCTACCACTAAATATTGTAGAAACCTAATTTGCTGTAAAGTTGCTTTGCAATGATTTGTATTGTGAAAAGAGCTATACAAATAAACTTGAGTTGAATTTAATTGAATTGAACCTTATTGTAGTGTTGCCAGATTTCTGTACATTGCATTAAACACATTTAACCACCAAATAATCATAATCGTGATTTAAGAAAATATTCATATATTATTTGAAGTACTTATACATAAGTATCTGTTGTACTGCTGATTTAAATGAAAAACAACAACTCTGTACTACATTGATAAGAATCTAATTAATCACCTTTGAGAATAACGAGAATTACTAAACTCAGTCGTAAAGCACACGTTACAGTAATCTGCAAATAATCTTACAATGCAAAAAAGTCTTTATTTTCTTCATGCATAATTATTTTTAGGCCTACATCGGTTTATTTTTGATTTGTGACCCAAGCATGTTTTATGAGATGGATGCAGATCTGAATTATTGATGGAATCTGATGTAAATCCCACAGGCGTGTGTTTCGGCGAGCACAGAGGAAAACCTGCCTCAGGCCTTATGCTTCCTCTCATTAATTAATATTAACTGTGATTATTAAAGGACTAGCTCCTCTTCTATTGATTACAGTGACTAAACTAATGATGGAGTCTGAAGAGGAAAAGTCACATACTCTGTACAAAATCAGTTTTATAATACATTGTAAATATAGATTATTGGAGATTATTTCAAAATAATTCATGTTTACTTAACACTTCTATGTAATGCTTTGTGAAATGCACTGCATTTTTCTGAGTGGAAAAAAACAATTCTAAACCACTTTTTTTCACATCAGCTGCAATGACAACAAACATACAATTCATTTTTGTCACAAATGGCGTTTATTTAAAAAAAAGAACAAGAAAAGAGGAAAAAGTCGCAATGTTAGCTGTGCTGTTTCTGCACAAACAGTGAGATATAAAATAACAGAGCTTTAAAGTCAGCATGAAACAGCAGCTAAACACATTCAAGCTCGTTTCCAGCACAGAATAAAACATGAAAAAGTATAGATATCAAGTTATCATCTCACAATTATGAGACCATTGTTATTTCAGGATTCTGACTTTTGAGTTTATATCTCACAGTTATGAGAGAAATGTCTGAATTGTGAGAAGAAGAAGTTGCAATTACCTTTTTAGTTTTTTTATTCTGTTGTAAACTCACAATTCAGAGCAAAATAGTCAGAACTGTGAGATATAAACTGACTTTTTACTCGCAATTCTGGGTTTAAACCTTACAGTTCTGAGGGGAAAAGTCAGAACTGTGAGATAAAAGTCACAATTACTTTGTTATTTTTAAATTCTGTGACATAAACAGGCTTCTGTACTAATGTGTAACAGAATGCATCATGAAACAAGACTTGATTTGCTCCATCAGGAACTGATTGATTGGATGAAAGGTGTTTCTACTTGAAAAAAATAGGACTTTTCATGTTGACTTTAAACTCTCGTCACACACTGAGTGTCTGGAAGAGATTTATAGACACTGACGATCCTGTCTTTATTTTTGAATATGTCTAAAACAAACATGATCTGCGTTTCATTTGCATGTTGATACTCCGAGTTTTTCTGCATTTGTGACCCTGGAGCACAAATCCAGTCATAAGGTCAGTTTTTCGAAATTGAGATTTATGCATCAGCTGAAAGCTGAATAAATAATCTTTCCATTGATGTATGGTTTGTTAGGATCGGACAATATTTGGCTGAGATACAACTATTTGAAAATCTGGAATCTGAGGGTGCAAAAAAATCTAAATATTGAGAAAATCATCTTTAAAGTTGTTCAAATGAAGTTCTTAGCAATGCATATTACTAATCAAAAATTAAGTTTTGATATATTTACAGTAGGAAATTTACAAATTATCTTCATGGAACATGTTCTTTACGTAATATCCTAATGATTTTTGGCATAAAAGAGAAATGTATAATTTTGACCCATACAATGTATTGTTGGCTATTGCTACAAATATACCCCAGAGACTTAACACTGCTTTTGTGCTCCAGGGTCACATTTATGGTTAAAAGAAATGTTTGCGGGAAATGTCTGGGTTTCTCAAGATGCAAAAAGCATCGCTACGCATTAAAAACAAACCAACACAATCACCCAAAACGACATAATGAGCGTCAGTCTACGATGTCACGTTTAATACGACAACAAACAAATAAACTCTGAATAAAAAAAGAAAGGAAGAGCAAAGCCGGTTTTTCCCGAGTAACTGGGAAAACAGGGACAAAGATCGAGCAGCAGAGAAACAATCGGACGTCTCCAGTGTTTCTGTGCGACCACCTGAACTATCTGAGGTCAGACCGATCTAGCATTAACACAATTATTGCACTGGATTCCTGCTTCTATCAATGGGCGGCAATTATAAATAAAGCAGTAATGTCAGAGTGAGATGAGCATCGAGGGAAAGAGTTGGAGGAAGAGTTATTATGGATTATGGACTCAATGTATTTTAGTTAAAAACGTCTTAATGCTGGATTAGTTTCAGCTTTGGTCTTCTCCAGATGTTAATTGATGGACTGGAGTGTCCCGCCAGCACCAGAGCACAGGCTCCCCAGGCCATCTGCGCACATCAGTTATATTCAGTCAGCCGTCTGGAAATCAATCTGATCACGTTTAATAAGACACCATGGCATTAAATCAGTCCTGCTCTTACTGTGCTCAGATCATCAGATCGCATTCGGTTTCATCACACGATAAATGAAAAAGTGCACTGCAGAGCATCCATTGCTGAGACACTGATGCAGTGCTGCATTTCTCCAAACCTGATGAAGAAACAAACTCATCCTGAGCACATTTTCATTTTTGTGGCGACTGGTCTGTGCTGCACCTGATATATCAAAACTAATCAATATAGAATTGAATCAAGAGCTGCAATCAAAACGTGTATCAATATCTAGCTATTTTTGTCATCATCCGAATCTCCCGACATTGACTCCGGCTGATCTGCAGCTTCACGGTGAACCATGGTCATGTTGACTTTCGATATTTACCACATGAGCGCGGGCGAATATGACGGGCAGCCCGAAGGCGGACACCACGATGCCTGTGGTCAGGAATATGGCCAGCTCTTTGCAGGCGTTGCTGGCCGAGTCCGTGTCATCCACCACGCGGCGAGAGATGCAGTATGGGATAGGTGCCAGGATGTAGAAGAAGAGCAGGAACAGAGGCCAGTACGCACTGCACGCAGACACAGCGTCAGCAGACGCTCCGCACACACACACAGAGAGAGACAGGAGAGAGAGACACTCACTTATAGACGGGCAGAGCGCAGCCCAGCATGAGGAACATCAGACCGATCGCTCCTCCAAACGACAGGCTGATCAGAGCTGAAACAACACGCTTCACATCAGAACAACACACACACTGAAGACGCTCTTCTGCTCACCAAGCCTGCATTTATTTGATCAGAAACACAGCAAAAGCAGTAAAATTGTGAAATATTTTTACTATTCCAAACAGCTGTGTTCTATGTGAATCTCTGTTAAACTGTAATGTATTTCTGTGATGCGCAGCTGTATTTTCAGCATCATTACTCCAGTCTTCAGTGTCTCATGATCTTCAGAAATCAGTATAATATGCTGATTTGCTGCTCGAGAAACGTGATTATTATTATCAATGTTGAACACAGCGGAGTACATTTTATTTCATGATTCTTTGATGAACAAAGATCCAAAGATCAGCATTTATCTGAAATAAGCTTTTGTAACAAAAGGAAAATATAAAACAAAAACAGATTCAAAATGCCTTCACTTTTCATTAAAGTCTATAGGATAATTGAGGGAAATCATGTCATTTACATTCATAGTGTTGCTATTATGACATCGTAAATTAAAATATGGGCAACTACATGTGTAAATATTCGTATGCCCATATATAAGTCATAGAATTGATCTCTTTTGTCATCAGCTATTCAACTAAACTGTCAAAATACAGTTTTGCAAAATACATTACACAATACAAAACACATTCAGTAAAAGCTCAGCCAAACAAAGGCTTCTTGCCCAGCAGCGCTAATCATTTAGATGTTGTGCTTTAACAACTAAATAACCAAATGTTTCTATTTATGTCCTTTGATAACACATTAGCTGATGCATCATCATCATCATCACATGCTAAACTCATAGCCAAATACAGCATGTTATATTCAACATTGTTGCACATATTCCTATACATACATACATCAAATATATATATATATGAAATAATGTAACATTTGTAAGTTCCCTGATATTCCCAATTTGAAATATCAGTCCTGTTATGTCGTCTGATTATGAATTTGCTCAGATTCATAATGATATCTCACACACACACACACTCTCTCTCTCACACTCACACACACACACAGGTAAAGCCGCTCACCTTTGATTCCCGCCATTGCGCAGATTCATATGATCAACACTATAATTAATAGGTTGAATAATTAAAGCTACAGAAACTCCTCGCGCTTCCGCTCCGCCGCACCGCTAGCGCTGCCCTCCACACTGCGCATGCGCCGCGAGACCACTTCCGGTGACCGCAGAACATCACAACGAACAAGAGTGTAACAAACACATCAAAATGAACAACGGATAGACTTTATCCACATATCACATTAAATAAATGTGTTAAACAAAGACCGGTGAAATATTACATTACCAAAGGAATGCATATCGTAGATTGTTTTTTTTTCACTGTTTAAATTAATTATTTTTGTATTATATTTTCCCCGTGTTAAATTATTCTTTGTTTTGACATGGAAACGTTTTCTAAATCCTTTTTATTTAAATAGTCAGACAAACAAAAAATCTCTTGTTGCTGATTGGTCCGAAGTCTCTCTATCTCTCAGGCAGCTTTGTTGTCATAAATAATAAACATAAATATAACAATGGCACACCATTAATATTTATATATATATATATATATATAGATAGATAGATATACCACATATGGCGTGTTGTGTTCATAAATGATTAATGATGTTCTAAAAACGAGTAATCCTCGTCTGTTTTCTGCGTAACACAGCGCGCCCTGCTGGACGAACCGGAAACCACCTTCTGCAGCTTCCGCGGTTCTTTCTTTGTTTTCGGTGTCACCGGAAATGGTGTCCGTTTGTGTGTCGCGGCGCCGCGGAAGGTTCCGCGTTGAGATGGCAGCGGTGCAGTGTTTGAACTTGAACTTTTACCTGCTATACTCACCTTTGTGGATAGCCTGTAAGCAGTCATTGTCTCCAGCGATGTCCCTTGTTGACTCCACTTTGTTAAACACCTGCAAACCTGTGTGTATCATACCGTCATTACCTGGATACTTACCTGTGTTTGCAGTGATGTGTGCTTTCTGCCATCTTCCCAATGTGTGCACTCCACTTCCCCTGTGAAAGAAAAGGGCATTTATTATTACTCCTTAACCATTTCAATTAATAATCATTGCAATACTTACCTTTTTCTCCAACTGCTCAGTAAACACCTGTCTTGATTCGGTATCCTCTGTTTCAGTCTAGTTTATGTCCTGACAATAATGTGTGAATAAAGGGTGACAGATTTAACATTTTAATGGCTAAACTATTCATTTACCAGTTAATTACAGAGATGACCTTTTTGTAATCTGCCAATAAAACAATAGCATTTAAACAAATAATAATTTTCCTCTTTTTTACCTCTGTTATCTCAGACAGTGTAACAGGATGAAAAGGCAGGGAGATATTCAGTATTTTGCCAGCCAGTGAGGGAGAGCCGGTCTGATGGTTTACACGCAGTGATTTCAGAGCCTGGCTGCTCAACAGGAGACATCTTGGTTCAGGAAGATGCGAGTGTAGGTCAGAACAGCCCCGTACACCCTCAACCAGGTTAGTAGACCAGCTAGAAAGTGGACAGTGACATGAGTTTGGGTATATTCAGGGCGACACATTTGCTTTAATCAGAGAAGTCCCTATATTGATATACTGGTACTAATTTCAGTATCGTACAGAAAAAGTGCACTCCTGAGTGCTATTCTAAAACTATGAATGCATAAATCCAAATCACACTAAACAAATATCATGATCTGTGGTTAAAAACCATGTATTTTACTAATATGCCTCTGTATTATAGCTGTCTCTAGGGATGAAACAGATGACAGTGACAGTGATGTGGAAGAGATGGATACTCATCACCCACCTTCAGAAGCGGAGTCTGAGGTTCCACTCACATCTGACACTGCTCCAACTGGACCTGATGGTATGTCTTTTTTATTTTACATGTAAAATAGGCAATACTTACAAAGCTCCCTATATCCTTGCACTCTCCTCGCTGTCACAGTTGTCTGGTCTCACAGTTGGCTATGCTTACTTACCTGGTTCCTACCTGTTTCCAAGCTCCCCCGATGACCTGCTCCTCAGCTCCTACACTCCGCTGTTCTCCTAGGATTCCCTGGAAAAGGACTCATTACTCCTCACAGATAAGAACCCAGAACCCTTGCCATTCCCCTAATACTCACCTGGATCAGTTGTCTTGCTTACATCTGCCTGCTCGGTTAATAAACCTGCTGTTGTGTGCACTTACCTCCGTGTACCTTTGTGTATTTGCACATTTATAAGTGAACTATAATTGTCCATGAAGGCTGGAAGTGAAAAACTTATATTCAGATGTGCAGAATTATTAGGCAAGTTTTCTTTTACAGATAAAATGAGCCAAAAAAGAGATTTCACTCAGACTGAAAAGTCAAAAATGATTAAATGCCCATGAGAAGGATGCAATACTAGAATTTGCAAAGTTAAGGCATGAC